TCGTCGCGCCTGGAATCGCTTCCACAGCACCGACGTGGATAGGATCTTTGTCCATGTTCGCAAGCCCGACCCGATGTCCGTAGATATCGTCCCATGCTTTTGCTGTGTTGAAGGAGAGCTCATTGGGCATGACGCGCACTACGGGCCCGTATTTGTCGTGGTGGACCTTGTAGTCGAAGGCGATACGGCCGCGTAGTAGTGAGATTATCGAGGGAATGGGCGAGATGCGCCATAACAGCGGGCCAGGATATTTGGCAAGAGGGTGAAGTGTGAGGTTGTAGATTGCCGTCAAGACTATGTATGCGACGAACTAGACTTGTCAGATCAATGTCAAGAGGAGAGCTGAAAGACGTACTGCAGCGGGTGCCCAGATCGCGATCAGGCGAACGCGATCCTCGTCTACGAAACCCATGGTGAGGTTCGCTCTTTATTCAGTCGTTTTTCTAACAAAGAGTCGGACAGAACAGAAAGCAACAACCAAGCTGATACGAATGAAGTAAGGCTGAACAAGACACGAACCGCAAGACGATTCAGATATACGAAAGCCGACCGATCCCTGTGACCATGACGCTACATGCACTACAACGCGTAGTCATCCGTTGCCGCCATAGCGGCAGCAGCTCGCCAAAGCATATCCGACGCCGTATATGCAGAGCTGTTAAGAAGACTTGCCAAAAGCGTCTGACAATCCTAACCGACTAACCGCGAGGCTCTACAAACAAGATTGTCGTGTTCCACAGCATCTGTCATTCCACTGAGGCGTCTTTGCAGATATTGCCGACATGCAAAAAGTGATCACGCCTTCTGTGAGAAGGGCAAACTTCCATGGTTGGGGTTGGATATGCTTTAGCGTGATGCAGCGTGGGCGCCCCACCTGCCCGCATGTTGACCCCGCGCAGGTTTCCACAGTCGGGGCTAGCGAATGAGCGTATGGCCGATGCATGCGACTCGCGCATGGCAATGGCATGATCAGGCTTGAATCGTGAGCGTAGCACAGTAAGCAAGACGAATTGCATTCTATTGGTAAGGACTGGTCCGGACGGAGTCGCCTGTAGCGTGGTCGTAGTGCCATGCGCGCTCGTTCTTGCGTCGTGCTCGGTCTGACAATCTTGATTGCCTAGCGGAAATCAAGCTCGCATGTGAGATATCTGTGCAACTTGAGAGGCAGTGTGCGTCGTGCCACCACTGTCAGAGAGTATCGTGTCTCGTGGAGCTCGATATGGTAGGTAGTCTTGACAAGCTGTCAGCTATGAACGCGTGTGATCTTCGCGGGTCATGTCTTGTGTAATGCGACGGGCGGTGTTATGACCCCTAGGCCACTGGCAGCTTTGACAGCATCGAACCAGATGTTACCCATGTGAAAGTAACCGGAATAGGACCTGATACGATTAGCAAGCGTGCTTCTACGCCACAGATAATGTTGGAACACCCACGGATGCACCCCGTCGACCAATTCTTCGGGTAGGACGACGCTGTGATCGACAACCGCAACCTTGAAGCCCTGATCAAGCTTCTTCTTCACAACCGCATGCACGGCATCATTGAACCTCTTGATGTTTTCCTGCGCCTGCATGTCCGCTCCCTGTATGATCTTCGCAACCAGCACCGCAGCGTCCGGGCACACGTCCAGCACGTCGTCTAACAGCGCTGCTAGACGCTTCGGCGCATCTGCCCACTTCTCTTCTGCGGTTTCGGGTCGAGCAAGATCGTTCGTGCCAATATGCAACAAGACGACATTCGGTCGCATCTGAAGTCCAGCTTTCATCACGGCCTGAAGCTCGCTGATTGTAGTCCCTGGATGCCCCTCGTTGTCATTGTTGGGCATGAGCCCAGAGCGCTGCGTGCCAACAAAGTTCACCGACGCGTAGCGCGCACGTATAAGCGCGTGGATCAGTTGCGCGCGGTATCCATCTGTCCCGTTGTCTGCACCCGGCTGGCCGCCCCAAGTTATCGAGTCGCCGAGCGGAAGTATGCGTAGTGGGAGGTTGAGGTTCGCGCCCGGTGGTTTGTGGGGGAAGCTTGACATCAGCAGCAGGATTACTATGGAGATGTTAGCACCATACAATGAAGACCCAGGTGTCCAACATGGGCAGCATCTTGGAGTGCCAATGCGACAACTGTAGTTGAGTCTAACACGCCCGGAACCTTGGAGCGGTGACGCGACGCACCTATGCAGAAAAAGGCCACTACGCCCAGGCCCTTCAAAACCACCTTGTTTCGCGGACCTCCCGCAGATGGGAGCATCGGAGGATATCGAGACTGTTCATCAATCGCCCAGATGGTGCTGCTTCAATGGCATTGTGGGGGCGCAGCAAACAGGAGTCCGACTGAGACCGATGGCTAGCGTCATAGCTCTAGCAATTGACCGACCTTGCGCTATTTATAAGCAGTGAGACTTTGGCTGAGAGTCGCGCATATCAAACAGGAATTTATTGAAACTCCAAGTTGTGTTCGCCAATGAAGATGGCGCGGGGGCCCGGGCAGCCACGAGCTTGGAAGGGCCCACATGCCGGACCCTTGAGGTACCTAGGTACAGGTCCCTAAACACTCACAGCACACTCTTCCAAGGTTTCCTTTACGACATCAGGGTATCACTTTCGCTTTCCTCATGCGATCGAATGCAGTCGTCCACGTTTCCTTCGTTCCAATCTCCTCCGTGTATCCAACCTTGTGCGAAGCTTCCATGCTCATCTGGCGGTCGAAGTCGAACATCGTCATGATGAAGTACTAATACTGGTCAGCTACTGCATGCGAACACGACGCAACCAGATTTCCGACATACCTGAAATCCGGGGTGCGTAATATCGCTATCGACGCTTCCCTTCTTGAGATTATGCTTCTTCTCCAGTTCCTCCCAATCCTTCTTGTGCGCGTCGATGTACGCGCCAGGCTGTGGTGAGCCCTCTTCAGGCCCGGTACCCTTCAGACCGAAGTAATCACAAATTACCGGCCACTTGCCGCTCCAGCTATCTTCCTGACCGCCCACGTTAAAGCTTTGCGACGCGGTTTTCTCTGGGTTCAAAGATGCGTGGATGGAAAAGTGCGCAACCATGTCTTGTGGGGATTCGTTGTACTTGTTCACCCACGACTTCTCAGTACCAGGGAATGGGCACTTTGCGCCTTCGCCCTCAACGGATCGATATAGCGAGAGGTACAATGCCAGTGTTTGCGCAAGGCAGTACGCGTTGTTGTTTGGCACGAAACCAATAATGTTGTCTGGTCGCACCTCGCACCAGCTCCAGTTCTTCCCTTTGGAAATGCGTTTCAAGCAGTCAATCTGATTATAGTAGAAAAGCTGCGAAAGGTATGGTTCGGGTATCGGTGGCAGCGTCTCCTTGAGTGGTAGGTCGTTCGCAAAGGGGAATTTGTCTAACATCTGGCAACCGTAGATCTTGGTTCCTGTCGGAAGCAGTACGTATGACAGTTTGGAGGAGAGATGATCGATCGCAGTTACGGCGCGCTCCAACATCGCCTCGTTGGTCTTGCATTCGGCTTCTGGTTCGTCGATCTGCTTGTATGCTTGGTAATGTCAGACATGGCGGTTTCTCCTGATAGCTTGGACTCACAGTAGAAGTACACTTGCGTCACAGTCTCAACATCTTTGACCTTTTCTTTGATCTGCTTCTCCAGCTCTTCTTGTGTACCTTTGACTAGATCAACACCAGACACGATTTGAAGTCTTGAGTCGTCAGGCCAAAGAGCCATCTCCCGTGTAAGCGGCCGGTTGACCATAGCTGTAACTCTGGAGAAAGCATCCTTGGAAGGGTATCCGTTCAAGATGGCATTGACGATGGCCCATCCCGAGATGCCAGAAGCACCATAAATCAACGCGTGATTTCCCATGATCTATATATGAGTTGTACGTCAATATAGAGTATCCAAGGGTATGCGCAGTGTAAGGCTGGAAGCAATAATGCGACGCGTGAGGGCCGCATCCTGGTATTTGTATCTTAGACCTATACTACCACATCGGAATCAGCCCGCATCTCCTTAGTATACTATCATTGGATGAGCCAGCTATGCTGCTGCATGCAAGTACCTGCTGCTTGGAACAGCATGGGCTGAGGAAGCTCATGCGGAGAACCATATCCAACAGGTGCCTGACGAGCTCTTTCCCCGCAGCGTCATCCGCCATGACTCGCCCTCTGACAGCCCTTCGGCTACAGTCCCGGCGACTTGCAATACCGACTATCGCCGATGCAACAAATGTTCGCACGCGATGCGAAAACACTCCAGATGGACGAGCGTTGTGACGGGCTCGAGGCATCGTGAGCTTTGGTGGTGGGGGGACAGTGCCAATGAGGCTACATAGCGCGCCGGGACCCTCGATCGGCCTCCTTGTCTTCCAAGGCTGGGAGTTCCTCTGTCACCACCACGGTCTCGTTGCCATGGTGTCATGCTCTTAAGCTCGGTCATGTTGCAGCAATGTAAGTAATCCTACATAGACTTCTGAGCTCGCACCGACGTATTCAGGTATGCCTGTAGGTTTAGCTTGTGAAGGCTTTCCAGGCTACAATCCGTCCACCTATGCATTGGCACCTCTGGGAGGACCAACCTCTCAAGGAACCCCATGGTGATCTCTAGCAGAACCTATATGAGAGATGTCGCACTTATGTGTCATTCTCGGCACGTGACTAAAGGGCGTCTGTGGTAGAGTACATGCGCATTTTGTTCGCTTTCTTCAACATACGCTATACATCCGTAAACCATAATATCTCATCGCTCCTCGATCTCTACATTTGAAGCTATCTTCACCTTCACCTTCACTTCGTTTGAATGGCCGTTCCTCTCAGGCCACCCCACGTTTCCGGTCGGTGACCTACGGTGTTCTCGTCACCTTCACCTGCGCTTACTCAAGCGGCAGCTAGCTTTACTTGCCTAGTGCCACCAAACACAAATTGCTACCTCTTCCTCGCTCAGTTCGCGGGGTCATACTACTACAATCACCTTGCAGCATCAAGCCCCACCACAAAGACTTGATTTGACCCTACAATACCGATATGGCGCCGACGAAAGCGACCGCACGCGTCTCAGGCAATGCTAGAAGCAGGCTTGCGACTACGCCAGCTGATCGTCTGCGAGTAGCGGTACGTATCCCAACCAAAACTCTCACTGCCAGATAAGATGACTGACCTGACCACGCAGAAGCAACAATTCCAGGGTTCCAACAACGCACAGGAAAAGCTATACACCATGTTCGAGGATACGATGGAAGATCTTGGACAGACCAAGGACAAACTCGAAGCGGCCGAGAACGAGCTAGAAACGACGAAGAGTAAACTTGATAAAGCGGAACGCGACGCTGATTTCTGGTACCGCGGCTGGAAAAACATAAGCAACAGATGCCAAGCTGCCGATAGCACTTTGAAGGCACACGAACACCAAATTTATCAACTGGAAGCCGAGTTGGCGCTCGAGAAAGAGAGGGCGGAGAAGAACGAGAACGCTCAAGAGATGCTCGAGCGACTCAAAAACCAATGGTCGTTCTTCTCCCATATCCTCGGTAACGAAGACTCCGGACGCTAGATGCACGACACATTGAAGGAAGGCGGACATACTTATTGGATCCGGGGACAAGTTTTGCCATGGCATGAGAAATTACGAGAGAATTGGTGTTATTGGGATGATCTCTGCGACATGCTGAACCCTGATAGTATTTGCAGTATCCTACCCTGATGTTCGTTACATTGCAGAAGAGATGTAGTTGGCATCAACCCAATGGTTATGAGCATTGTGTACTTAAAAGCTATGAATTCACCAAGACACTACAATCAAAGAAAGCCTCTGCTCTGTTCACGAAACGCATCATCTTAGTGCAAATTACACCAATACCCCTTTGCCTCCGTAATCGGCACTCCAGTGATACTTCTCGCCTTCAACTTTCCCGCATCGCAAGTATCCCACCTGCACTCCCGTCAACCCAATCTACTTCACGACGTCTTCTAGGCGACAAGACTTACTGTGAGAAATCGCATCCACACGCCTCAGACACCGTTGCTGATAGCGCTTTGCCGGTGATTCCATAGCAAGCGTCACCATAGATGACTTGGGCCTTGCCGCCTTGCAGGTAGATGGTGCCGCAAATGGGAGGCCCGGGCGCAGTGGGCGCCGCGGATGCGGAGATGGCGAGAGTTGATAGGAACGTAAGAGTAGTAAGGTGCATGTTGAAAAGGTTGCAAGCGAAGGAACCTTGCTTAGATTGGCTTTTGTAGTTCCTAGGCGACTATGGGCAAGGTGAGCTTCCTTGGAGTGGAGAACTTGTTTGCATAGACGTAGTATCTATGTGAAACTGATCTCGGCGTTTACATGCGGTGCGATATGTGACGTGCGGGGGCAGATGTAAGATCTCGCCTTCAAATCATATGCGGGTGCTCTATTACAAGGTACGTTCGTGAACGGGCGTCTTCGGTGGCGCATAACTTGTATTGACACAGAATTCTGACCTGCATGGTCTGCATGTAAGCGCGTAACTCGTCAGTCACAAGTACGAGTGAGACTACCCTCGAGACCAATTGAGGAGTATACACTTTATTTTATTCCTTTGTACTTCTAACCAACCCAGTCGATCTCCTTCTCGTACTGCCAGAAAGCACCTGTCTTGTTTTGGATGTCGTGGATCGCGAGCATTACGGGGGTTTGAGCGCCTTCTTCTACAGTCCTAGTTCCGTTGCCTAGATTTGGTGTATAGAGTCAGTACATGTCTCACATGGTGCACACGAAAGGTTTGCTTACCCTTTGTCATGTCCGTGTTGACATAACCTGGGCAGCAGGTATTGATCAATACCTTACTTCCCTTCTCCTTCTCTTGTCTGGCCAGCGCCCGTGTGCCTCCAATCAATCCTGCCTTGCTCACAGCATATCCGGCACTAGGGAAGCCAGCGTCCTTCTCCTTGCCAGCTTCGACAGCAGCAACAAAGTCCTTCATGATGCTTGTGACATCTTCTTCGGTCTTGGAGGCGAGGAAGCGGTTGCGAACTTCTTCGGAGTATTTGTTGAGCTTGCCAGCCATGCTGCCGAGGTTCACGATGCGACCGGTGGGCTTGAGGAGGGGAAGGAAGGTGTGGCACGCCTCGAGCGTCTTGTAGTAGTTGCAGTCGAGGGTTGTTTTGACGAGGTCGGCATCTGATTATGTTAGGGACGGCGGATTGTACATTGGAAGGAGTTACTTACTGAAGCCGTCCAACGCGATACCAGCGTTGTTGATGACAAAGTCAATGCCGTCCCCATGAGCTTGCTTCAAGTGGTCCGCAAGGGTCTTGATACTGCTGCTGCTTGTGATGTCAAGCAGATGGAACTTGATCTCAGAGAGGCCACCGTCGGCCTTCAATGCCTTGGCCTGCTTCAATGCCGCATCTTGCTCCAAATCCTTAACGGCAGCTTCTCCTCTGCCCTGATCGCGAGCCGTCAAATAAATCAGAAAGGGTCCGTTGTTGAGCGGCGACTTGGGGTACTGCAGAGCGAGCTGCTGCACGATGGCGCGTCCGATGCCCTGACAATGTTAGTTTGGTACTCCCGAAGAGGCTGTGGACGTGTGTAGGTACCTTGTTCGCGCCGGTGACGACTCCTACTCTGCTGTATGACATGATTGTTTGTGTACTTCAATCGATCGGTGTTTGGTGGAAGGAAGAGGAGATCGTGATATCTTAAGGTGTTTTCCCCACATTGTCCCATTAATCATCATCGAAAGAGCCTCGCTGTTCGGAGTTAACAAGGTCGATACGTCACTAATCATCGGTGGATCCAGATGTCCCGGCCTCCTGCGGGCATCGTGCGGCACCAAAGACGCTATTCCGGATAGGGCTAACACTGCCGCGGCCACGCTCTCTCGATTTCGTACTTTGCCTGCGGATGTTCACTACACTACATGAACCAGCTCAGCATTCTTGATTACTGATCGGACCGAGCCTTGACAAACTTTCCATTAACTCCATGGTTTTCTACGGCGCGGTTGTCATTCCTAGTAACTTGCATACACAGCCATCGGCCATCCTTCTTAACATCTAACACAGACACGGTAGATGGATCGTCTGGTAATTGCTGCATGTCCTTCCACTAGGCGTATCGCTCCCAGTCTGCAAGTACAAATCGTAGTAACTCGCTTCAGCCGATTTGCATACGAGGAAGTTTAGCTCTAGGCCGCATGTTAGCACCGCCGACAATGAGCCGAACATGCCTCCTTCCTGAGTACTTACGTCGTCCATAGCTACTACTCTGCACAGTAATGATAGTATCACCCTCCAATCCCCACGCCGTAGTCTCCCCAGTGGCTCCCCATACCAACGGCTTGTAGCTTGTCGATGCGGTCGCAATGTTCAGATACTGGCTTGTCTTTTTCGATTGGATGGTACCGCCGATGGTAAATTCGTCAGCTGCGGTTTCGGGTCCCAGCACAGGGATTGATGCTATACGTGTTATTAACAAGTTTCTGAAAAAGTAATAAAACTGAATGTCAAGAGAAGGAAATCAGCGTACCATTCTTAGCGCTTGCTTGCAAGTATAGATGGTAAATTGGGTCGCGAACGCCACGTATTTTGCCTACAGTTGCTGCGGCGCTCTGGGCATTCTCCACCGGCGCAGCGAGTGCGCCCGATGCTACCAACAAAATTTGAGCGAAGAACGACAACATCGCGAAGAAGAACCTGAAGCCCCAATATGCAAGACTACGACTTGATCTAGTCCCCGGGTCTCTTTATATGTGATCGCAACTTCGCATTACGTGACCCCAGTCTGCAATATAGCAGATTAATTACGGTCGCGTCACGCGTAGAGATGCTTACCACCGGATATAACGCATCTGCATCCCTGTCGTTCTACAGCTATCGAAAGGAACCACCGAGATAGGCACAACATTGTGTATTCGGTACAATCTGAACATTGCCCGGACTGAAGAAGTCAGGACGCGATATTGGAGGGACGCGCTAACACTTTGGGTTAGCGCGGAACGCGAAGGTCATTTACTTGGCATCTAGGCAGTCGCCCCCCGTCTCACCTGCAACCACCTACCATTATCGAGTCAAACTTTTGTCCTACAGTGCTCGGGCTGTACGATCGTACCCACTGGATTTGATGACAACGAACGCTTATCATGGTCGGGCTTACAACAATCACGTCGCCCACGTCATGTGGCGCGACTAGCAGCAGCTATGATCATCGAGCCGCACGCAAGAACATGGACAATTCAACTGATCAGCAAATGAACGACCGTGACGATGCTATATCTTCATCTTCATCTTCAGCGCGAGCCTCTGCTGCTACCGGATCATCTACGCTCGCCACCACAGGATCCTTATCAGCTCCCGAAAACGTGGAGTGTGTTGAGACTGGTGCACAGAATATGGATCGCTACATCGCACTTGGCTGCCTTCACTTCAAGCACGCATTCGACTTTAGTTCAATCTCACCATCGAGTGGTGGTTGGGTCGAGTTACTGCAACAAGAGCTTCCCGACGAGATCAAGGCCGGCATCGGTATTGAAGCATCACGACTGCTTGAAGCTCAATGGATTCGAATATTCGCGCGTAGAGGAACGCCTGGTAATGCGTCTCACCACGGGCTTTTTCGCGTCTATCTTTTGCCAGAAGACTGGGCTCGTCGTACGATTGACCGTAACAGCAAGAGCTTGAAGAACGCTCTGCGGACACTGCTCCAACAAATTGACATCTCACCGAGTGCTTGGAATGGAGACTCAAATCCTGATGAGACGCGTTACTTTGATCCCTGGGCTCATGTAGAACCTTTCTCGCTATACTACCTTTTCAACAAGCTACCATCGCCTGCGCCCGACGTGGGGAAGATCAAGTGTCGCTATACACGTGCCGCCGTACAAGACGTACTAGATTCTGCGGCAGTCTCAGAATGGTCGGAGCATGGTGAACAGGCTCTACCGGGGCTCAAGACCAGATTATACGCGTATCAGACACGGTCGGCGAGCTTGATGCTGCAACGGGAAGCTTCGCCACAGCTGCAGCTTGATCCAAGATTGGAGGTTCGTACCTCGCCTGATGGCAAGGAATTTTACTACGGGCCTAGAGATGGATCATTTCTACAAGAACCGCGCTACTACGAAATGAACCGGGGTGGTATTCTGGCAGAGACCATGGGCCTGGGGAAAACGGTAATTTGCTTGGCCGTTATTTTGGCAAGTAAGGGCCACCTTCCAAAGATTCCAGTCGCATACCGACCATTACCTCCTCTTCGCAAGCGACCTGGATCGTTGGCAGACATGGCGATCTCTTCCGCTGGCCGACATTCAACCCCGATGAAATCCTTCCTCGAGCAGTCTGAGGCGAATGGGGCTGGAGATATGACAAGCATCAAAGATGCGCTGGATCGAGATGTTCCATTCTACGAGATACCACCAGATATTCCACGCATGAATAGGAACACCCGAATACCACCAACACGTCAATTGGTGCTCTCATCCGCCACCATCATTGTCGTACCGCGGAACTTACTCCACCAATGGCAGTCCGAAATACAAAAGCACATCCTTCCGGGTGGCCTCAAGATTCTCGTCGTTGACTCTGTGCCCAAGCGCGCTAGTAAGACGAAGATCACCCATCCCACCGACGAGACCATGGATTTTCAAAGCGAACTACCTGCTCCTACTGAACTCATGAAGTTTGATGTGGTTCTGTTCACTCGCAACCGCTTCGAACAAGAGGTCCAAGACGGTCAGGATGAACAAGGACGACGTATGGGTTCTGGGGCCTCTCGCGTTTGTAACTGTCCTTACATCGGAGCAACCCGCATTCCAAATTGCAGTTGCGTTGACACCGATAGAGTGTACGAATCGCCCCTGAAGAAGATACACTGGCTACGGATCATTATCGATGAAGGACACTCTTTCTCGAGCTCTGTCTCCAATGCTGTACTTGTCGCTAAGCAGATACAAGCGGAGAGACGCTGGGTCGTATCAGGAAGTAAGTCGTGCAAATTCTGACATGTGTACATATGCTGACGCTGGCTCGAAGCACCTGCGAAAGGTTTGGTCGGTGTGGAGGTAGACATGTCCACCGTCGATCCGAAGACCGACCCGGTACTGCAGCGCGAACTTGCCATTGAAAAGAGAAAAAAGTTCAACAACGATGATGAGAATGCCAAAGCTGCTAAAGCTTTGGGTATGCTTGCTTCACATTTCCTCATGGTTCGACCATGGTGCGAGAACTCCGAAGGTAAGCTCGATTGGGATGAATACGTTTATCGCCACGAGCACCAGTACAAAAAGACTCATTCCGGGTTTTCTTCATGCTTCGTCCGAGCATTGGAAGGACTAGTTGTGAAGACGCGCCCAGATGATGTGGAGAAGGACATTGTCCTACCCCCGATGCGACACCGAACCGTATACCTCAAGCCATGTTGGTTTGATAAGATGACAGCCAATCTATTCATCCAAGTTCTGCGAGCAAACGCTATCACGAGCGAGCGGACCGATGTCGACTATCTATTCCACAAGAACAGCGCGAAAGCTCGTCACAGTCTCATCAGAAATTTACGGCAGTCCAACTTTACCTGGACAGGTTTCAGCCTCTCAGATGTAGTCGCCACGCTTGAAACTAGCAGTAAGTACCTTTCCAAAGAGGACAGGAACTGCTCGCTCGAGGACGCGCAATTCCTCCTGGAGAGCAGCCAAATCGTGTCGAAGCTTACGGCTTCCGCTGAATGGATTGCATTGAGTACATCTCATGAAGTGGGTATGGCTGTCAACCGTTGGCCAGAAGCGGCGCGAGAGGCATTTGCACTTGTTTACCCGGCGGAGCCCATCGTGGTTGGTGTTACGCAGCTCATCGAGGGCCAGCTCCACGTTGATAGCAGCATCCGGTCTTCAGATCCAACGGTCGGGCTGGATGCTGTTGGATATGCAGCAAAAGCCAAGGCCATTGCGATGGCAGAGGAAGAGGGTAAGCTCAAGGAGTCAAGCGAAGGCACAGTCAATGGCATGCCGCTGCAGAGGACAGGAGTGCCTACTTCGTTGGTCAAGAGTCAACAGCCACCGACTAGTCGTCGGGCATCAGCCATTGCAAGCAAATCCTCTCCTAAGAAGTCAACAGGGTCCAATGATGCAAATGGCGTTGAAGACACCCCAGATATCCCTTCACCCGTTCGCACAAAGAAGCGAAAACTTACCTTTGCAGACGAGACAGCGGACCTTCCCGCAGACTCCGATCTCCGAAACACATGCTGCATTGGCACAACATCGGCCAAACTTACATATCTGTTGGACAAGTTGATGCAGCACCAGGAGAAAGAGAAGATCATCATCTTCTACGATGGTGACAACGCCGCGTTTTACATCGCCCAATGTCTTGAGTTGATGTATGTGAACCATCGCATCTACGCGAGAACCCTAAAAAACGAACTGCGATCCGAGTACGTACGACTTTTCAACGAAGATCCAGATGTGCGAGTCTTGCTCATCGATGTCGCTTGCGGTGCGCTTGGGCTGAATCTCAATGCGGCGAGCGTCGTACTTATCGTGAACCCGATCAACAGACCGAACATCGAAGCGCAAGCCATAAAACGAGCCCATCGCATCGGGCAAACAAAGGAGGTACTCGTTGAAACTCTAGTTCTCGAGAACACAATCGAGCATGCGATCTTCAATCGCGCGAAGAAAATGTCTCGTACCGATCACCAAGAAGCGAAAGAGCTTGAAGACGACGCCGGCATCATCGAGATCATTCAGAATGCTCAGATCCTGCCTGTGGGTGATGACGAGGGCGAGGGCTTGTCCAGCTTTGCGCTATTGCAGAGACCGCAGCAGGTCTTTGGGCGACCGAATCGGCACAAGTACCATCGGTATGGAGGCGCTGATAAGAAGACTAAGGATGGACCGCAGAAAAAGGCGAAGACTTCGAAGAGTACGAAGAAGGACAAGAAGGACGAGAAGGAGGATGCGAGTGGTACCAACAGCACGACTGCACCTTCTAGGCCTGGTCCTGGTTTACCGGTGCGAGGACCTGCTCAAAATGGCGGCTTGAATGCTGCTGGTGCAGCATCGTCCCAACCAGTCGCCAGCATCTTTGGCAGTGGTTGACGCACGAAAGACTTGACTCATGCAGCTCTGGGGTTATACCACGGCACACATTCCATTTCTATTTCTATATTGAACAGCGGGCTCGCCCAACGGACTTCCTTCACACTAGGCTTGGAAGTTACTTTGCATGTACTATACCCGTCTGAGCTGGCTTCGGCCTTGATTCGTTCTGCTTCAGTACCCCGAATGGAATCAGCGTATGACAATGTACAAATCTTCATACAACTTGCTATCGTCCTTCTAATGCCTTGACTTTTGGTGAAATATGTACAATGCTACCCGTCTACAACGCCGATGAACGCCATGCTAATCAGGGGATGCATTACCGCATCTCCTGTTGACCGTCTGTGCCCTCAACGTCGTCATGTTTGACCCATACGCTCTCCATCGCCTGTCCTAGGATCTGCATACCCTCCTCGATCTCTGCTTCAGTGATTACGAGTGGGGGAACGAATCTCAGGGTGTTTGTACCGCATGTGATGATCAACAGACCTCTCTCACGAGCAGCAGTAACGATAGGCGTAGGGTCGACATCAAGCTGAAGACCCAAGATCAGTCCCTTGCCTCTGACTTCCTTGATCTGGCTGGAGAAGCGCTGTCGGAGAGCGTCGAAGTGCTTGCGGAATGCCTGCTCTTTGGCGGGTATCGAGTCGAGAATCTCTGGTGATGAGAGACGGGACAGGATGTATGAAGCGACGCGGGATCCGAGGGGGTTGCCGCCAAAGGTGGTGCCGTGGTCACCAGTCTTGATGTTGTCACAGACGAAGTCGTTGACGATAGTCGCGCCAATGGGGAATCCGTTGCCGAGTGCTTTTGCCGTGGTTACAATGTCGGGATGGCATTCCTTGGGGTAGCCGCCGTGTGCCCAAAAAGTACCTGTCCGGCCTAGACCGCACTGTATCTCGTCGAAGATCAAGACAGCACCGACTTCAGTGCACCTCTTTCGGAGCGCGAGCAAGAACTCGGGTGTAGCAACATTCACACCACCCTCTCCCTGGATTGGCTCCACGATGACACCGCACGTCGCGTCGGTGACTAGGTCGTTGACTGCTTCCACATCGTTGAATGTGCCGTACTTGAAACCGGGCACCATCGGTGAGAACGGTGTCTGGTATTTCGGGTTCGGTGTCGCGCTCAAACTACCCATAGTCCGGCCGTGGAATGAGTTGTGGAACGAAACGAATTCATGCTTCTCCTTGTCCGGTGACATTGACTTTCCGACCTTGCGCGCGAACTTGATGGCGGCCTCGTTGGCCTCGGAACCACTGTTGCATATGAATGTGCGAGTGGCGCTGGCGAAGCCTCCGGTCGCGTGCGTGAGCTGGATCAGCTGCTTCGATAGCAGACCTGTGTGTGGGTTGTGGTAGAGGTTCGAGGTGTGCATGAGCTGCCTGGCCTGGGAGGGAGTCAGTAAGCCGCAATCGATGTAGTGGTGACGGACGTACCTGTTCTCCAATGACCTGCGCTACGCCAGGGTCGCAGTGCCCCAGCGCATTGACGGCGATACCAGCGGTGAAGTCGAGGTACTTCCTGTTTTCGATATCCCACATCCAGCACCCCTCTCCCTTCTCGAACATTGGTGGTGGGCGGACATAGGTCGGGACCATGTACGGTAATTGCTGGTTGACGAGGCCGGCTGTCTTGGAGGATGAGGGCGGGTCGGGTGTAGGTAGTGTGGAGTCGCGCTATATGGTGTCATTATGGAGGGCGCTGTAGAGCATGTATCCGTTGGTACTCACGGCTATGGCGTCCTTCACGTCCTGTGGTAGACTGGACCCCCTAACCGCAGAGGCTGCGGAAGCGAACCGCGCGGGGACGTAGTTGATGCGAGATGCGCGCAATGTAGCGCATACGCGCTGCGAAGCCATTCGTGAAGCCATAGTCAATTGCAAAAGTCAGGAAAACAAACTCCAGTGCCTCACTGCATCAATCGTGACTGTTGGGCGTGACGCAACTGCCCAAAATTTTAGCGTGCATGATAAGATAGGCCGAGGTCGGAGAGTCGGAGTGCCTCGTACTAGGTGTAACTCAATAGGTGCTCTGCAGACTACATCAAGATGAGAACAACCATTTCGCTAGATTTTAAGGCAATGTAGACTTCTGGGTTATGTACTCAAACGTGTGCCCAGTCTTTTTGGTAGAATAGGATGGGAAGGGTGGGGTGGTAGGGATGTTTGGGTCGGTGGAGGGTGAAATGACAGGGATGTTTGGGTCAACGGAGGAAGGAGCGAGCGCAGCGACGGCAGGAGCGACCGATGAGCGGTGAAATATGAGCGGCCTAATCGGGCCAAAGGAGAAGAACAAAGCCTCCTTGGTGTAGTTGGTTATCACGTGGGTCTCATATTCTACACATATGACTGTTCGACAGAGCAGATATCCCGAGGTCGGCAGTTCGATCCTGCCAGGGGGCAAACTTTTTGCCAGCCGCCTGGCTGTTTGCTGTTACCAATGTCGTAGGCTCGCTACGTATGCTCATGTTTTTGGAGATCGAGATCAGCTGACATATTTTTTGGTTGACAGTTCAATGCTTTTTGGCTCCATGTGCAGGCCGGTATGTGGCAGAACAATCAAGCTGAGAGTAACACATATAGTTCTAATCTACTAGCTGGTTATAGCCCGGCTTACACAAGTACAAGGCATTATCGTGAACAAAAGATAGAGTTAGTGTCGTGAAAGGACCCAGGCCGCTGGGCACTGAGCGGTAGGCATGGAAAAGCCGTAGTCTCTCATCCGAGCATCTGCCTTCTCTTCCACGTAGTTCATCCGTGGCACGTCTCACGCAGCTTAAGCATCGTGCATACCTACTCAACAAAGCGCTATAAGAACGACCAGTGTAACAACAGAGAACCTAGAAGTCTACATCGCTGTTGCAAGTTCTCAGTTCCTTGCTTCTGCGCTCTTGTAGGCTGCAGAGTAAAGGCAGAATACGCCACGATGAAGTCCCGGTCACTACTTCCATACACAACCTGCGCCGCTCTGTCTCCCATGCGCATACTTCACGCATACAGAGATTTCGAGACATGCTGGCGTCTGGGACTCTTGGGAAGAGTCGTTCCGGCCTGCAAGTATGTGAAAGCCGGTGTAGATCTCAGTTCCATAGGCCGTCGTATGACGCGATGAGCGGCCGAACGTTCAACATGTGCATCTGCTACTCGATCACAACAAGGACTATGTCGTAGCCATTGGTATCCAACACCAAGGTCTGTTTCGATATCCTCAACGTCCGTGATCATTGTATGAGGTCACGAACAGTCGGTACCCTCCGCGCGTTTTGAATGCTTGAGCTGTAAGTAACCGTGCGGCCTCTGGAGTCGGATCATTGAGACAGACGCCGATGCATGAGAGAAGGGCATTCGCGACTTGCTCGTAAAACGACATCAGGCGCTTCTTCCGCAACAGCCCAAACCCACGTCCGAGATGCAGCAGCGTTTGTTGGAAACAAAGAACTAGACAGGTCTGCAGACTACGGCATGATACAAGAGGCAAATCGGAAGATCTGACGAAGATGTAGGCTCCTGGGTGTTCGGTTTTCTCCTTGTATGAGATGACGCTCTCGGCAATACTCTTCGGAGATGTGATGGAGTTGTAGGGCGAAGAGAGGTCGTGCTGGTTCGTTGGAAAGTAGTGCGAGCTGAGATCCTGAATGGTCGCGGTTGCTGTGTTGCGCTAGCTGGTTGGGGCACAAGCTTCCCTCGACGCGTCCGTCCGTCGCACCCCGCTGCCTGTTCACCCTCTGCCATCACTTCTACCCTCTTTCTTCCCAAGCGGACCCTGTAATGTCACAAAAAGCGGCGAGCTTTTGGGAGTTTATCAGAATCTTCAAGATGCAGACAGCATGGGTTCGCCAGACGCGTCGCGATACCACAAAACGCCATTCACGTGCGATCGTGAGAGTTTCGCGTTGTTCAGGGGTCTCGGAGCGATGACGAAGCTCCTTGATGTCATGATCCCACGAACACCCGGATGAACCTCATCAATCCACACCTCCAATCCATCAAGATCATCGATTAACTATCTACTCCCATCAAATACATATCATTGAGCACCTGTCCCGTCTCATATCCCACGTGAAAATGCCTCCGGCGAAGAAACAGAAGACCGCGCGCGATTCCGGCGTCTTCCTAGAAGATTCGGGCAGCGAGAGCTCGGATTCCGCCTTCGAGTCGGTGCGCCCCAACAAGAACGACAAGCAGAAGAAAAATAAGCAGAACAGCAGCACGGGCAAGCCCGCTGATCCAGCACCTTACGATTACGTTTGCATACCGCATCCTTTCTTCGACATTGAAGGCCGGAATTATCTGAACTGGACATTGGACCCGGACGCCTTCATTTCCTCAAAATCCGAGATCTTCAGCAAGCTCTACAAGCCCATCGACGATCAATTCAGAAAAGATGGCCTCTTTAAAGCACCGGCGAGCAAACATCCGGAGCACAAATGGGTCATGTTGTGGGATGCGTGGCTCAAGGCGGATCTACTAGGAAGGAAGGCGAAGTACTGCGACCCAGACGCTTTTGAGATGAACTTGTATACAGACTGGCAAGGATGGGGAATGCAAGAAATTATGGAGAATATGGTAAGTGCAATGGTCAGCTGCGCGTGATAGCTGGAAGCTAACAGCGCAAAGATGGTCGAATTCAATCAAGGCTTCCATGCCAAGAAGGACCGGATCGAGAAAATGTGGTCGGTCATCAGCGCAGTAGGACTGTGGCTGAATGAAAACGAGCACATCACGGCGCTCATCAACAACGAAGACGGCGACACAACCTGCGAAATGATCGGCTTAATGGGCTGCGCACTACTCACCGTGCTTGCGGCCATTGAAATAGCAGGCGAGCTCAAGCCAGATTCCCGCTTCCTTGACTTGGCAATCGTCATTGCGTATTATCTAGAGCTATCGCACGATCTCCCTGCTTTCGGCATCGAAGGGCAGTGTGTATCATGGCGCAAGGAAGCCGTCAATTACTTCAAGAAGGGCAACCTCGACCCTGAGAAGGGAATCTTTGCGACGAAACTCCGCCTGGACAAACTGGCAAAGGTCGGCGACGTCGATGATGACTTCGCGCACACCAACGGAGAGGTCGAGAAGATCATGACTGGGACAACGACTCTTGAGAAGATTGAGGCTGAGAGGGCTGCTAAAGACTCTGCTGGCAGCTCGGCGGAGAACCCAGTCACAATTCCAGAAGACGACGACGCCGATAAAGAGAATGCAAACCCGAAGGCCACAGGTGAGAAACATGTCTCTCCGCCGCCAACAGGCAACGGCAAGAGGAAGAGGGGTCTGGACAATGTCGAAAACATAAGCAATTCGAAACAAGCGGATAAAGACCCATGGCACTGGAACGACAAGTTTAACGCGTACAAAGACAAGCGTCATCCCAAGATGGGCGGTGAACACTACGATATTACCAAAATGAGCAGGTCAGACCGAGCGGCTGCGTCGTTTACCGGCAAAGATCCCCTTGCCGATGTTCCAGTGAAGGATCTACAAGCGAATCTACTGGATCTCATTTGAGATGGAAATATGTATAGAAGGGGCTGTAAAAGTAGGGGCTTGTGTGAAGAAGGTGTACATGATCTGTTAGACGCGATTACCAATTCGATTTTGTAGCATCCCAAACGCTATTGCACACACCCTCTACTGTCTACAGGCCAAATCTCCTCGATGATGCCATTCCGATACGCATAGTAAACATTGTGCAGGTTCACCGTCGGGTCAATATGACTGGGCACCATCTCGACCCTATCGCCAATCTTCAACTCTTTACCCTTGCCTTCCTCCCAAGCGAGACTACCATGCTCATCTCCCAGAACCCCATACGTATACCCCGGCGTCTTGCACTCCGCCAACCCAGAATCCGTCGTCAACGACTTGAGACCCGCGTCAATGGTAATGATATTGGGGCCCTGCTTGCTGAGAACCGTCGACAAGATAGTCAGACTCTGCGCATAGTTTGTCGAACCAACAGCATTGCGATAATCCGTATCCATGAAGAGAAAAGAGCCAGGCTGTACTTCTGTGATTCCAGGGACCGTGACACAGAACTCCGCTGTACCCGTCCCACCAGTCGTCACCACATCAATCGCGTAACCTTCTTTCCTCAGCGCATCCGCGGTCGAGGTAAGGATCCTCATGCTCTCCAGACATTGACTCTTGCGCTCCTCGAGACCGTGGATGTGTTGCAAATGTCCCTCGTACCCTTGCACGCCAATGAGTTTGAGGTGCTTTGAGCTGGCGACGAAACGTGCTAGGTCCGAGGCTGGCTGACCAGGTTGCACACCCGTGCGGTGTAATCCCACATCGAGATCGATGAGCGTCATGACGGTGCCTTCGAAGCCGCTTTCAGAAAGTGCTTGCTCGATTGCGCCGGCACCTTCTATGCTGTCGACGACTATCCGCACGTTCTTGTACTTCTTGACTAGTTCCACTAATCGCGCCACTTTTGCTGGGCCGATTATCTCGCAGGTGATTAGCAGGTCTGTGAAGCCTTTTTCGTACATGACTTCTGCTTCGGAAAGTTTCGCTACGCATCCTCCTTTTGCGCCCGCTTTGACCATCTTCTTCGCCAGAATAGCAGATTTCGTGGTCTTAAGATGTGGGCGGATGTTGACGCCGGTGGGGAGAAGTTGTTTCATGAGTTTATCCAGGTTGGCTTCCATGAGGTCCAAGTCCACAATCATTGATGGCGTATCTAGCGAGTCTAGCGAGTCGCCTACTTTGGGAGAGTACGGCATGGTTGCGACGTGTACGAGATGCTGGAGGGACCGATGAAATAGAGAGCGCTTCTGGTGGTGAATCGTTCAAGCAGCTCGACTGAGGGGAGCAACGCGTATAGTACGGATGATACCGGGCTTAGTCACAAGTACGCGCGCTGCGAATATCGGACGTTGCACTCAAGATAGGCGTGTAGATGTTAGAAGTGGAAAAGTGGGTGCCTGGTCGTGATGGCCCGAAATGGTAAGCCGGAGGCCATCCCACCTTCCCGACTGAACACTAGCTTCTATCTTTGCGGGCGTACATGACTTGCGTGCCTGTCTTTCCATCAAAGAGTACCTGGGACCTCACAACAATTATCACATATATTCATGTTAATAGAGAACTCGCCGGCTGTCTTCAAGGAAAGCAGTTTAGATAACGTTGAACATGGCTTGCGATGAAGTCGTATTCGTCAAAGTGCGTACAACGAACGTCACGATAGCATGGATCCCTTGAGACAAAGTCGTTGCATTAGATAGTACGATTACAATCAGCGAGGTTCTCCATACGGACTTGGACCTGCGCAGTACTTGCGGCAACGAGTCAAGTCCACTAAGCCAGTCTTCTCCTTCAACCAATCGCCTTAGACACCTTACGCCTTGCACCCGTTGTGTCCGCCTTGTTGCCACATGGTAACACTCTTAACCTTCATCTGTCCGCCGTCCTTCCACGTAGGCAACCACTGGTTCTTGGCCTCCCAGAAGTCGAGCTTGGCGCGGTGACTCTTGTCAATCCATGGCTTACCGCTCTTGCCATCCTCGAACCAGCCGTTGGTGGAACCGACAGCCAGGTTCATGACGAGGTAGAACTCCTGGTCGAAGGGAGCGGCGTTGCTCTTGGCGTGCTTCCAGGGGTTGTCGAGACGGGTGCCGTTGGCATCGGCCTGGGGGAAGTTTCCGTACTTGAAGAAGGGCTGGTCGAAGTGCGTGTACATGACTTGGAGCAGGCGCGTGTTGATGTAGGTGAAGATGTACTTCTCGCTCCACTGGATGTTTGATTAGTACTGGCGGGCAGACGACGGAAACATGTAAGACTTACCTCAATACCGAAAGTGTTGTAACCGGCGGCGTATGTAGTGTGTAGCGCTTCGCGCTTGACGTTGTTGCGCCACCAGCCATTATGGTTGAAGTCGGGACCAAAGTGCAACGTGCTCGAGACAACGTTCCTGCCACCCTGAGCGTAACTGGGATCGTTGCCGCGAGATTCGGCGATATCGATCTCACCAGATCGAGGCCAAGGGCCATATGCGTTGTCCTTGGGCAACATCCAGATAGCGGGCCACAGCCAATCACCAGATGGCAGCTTGGCGACGACCTCGATACGGCCGTACTTGATTGAGGCGCCGCGCCTGGTGTTGATGCGACCGGACTTGATGGGGTTGATGATGGTGCCGTTGGTCGTGTTGGTGGTGGCAACACAGTCACTCCAGCCGGAACCAGTGCATCCATGGCCACGTAGGTCAAGGGTGTAGTTGCTTCCAAGGAATTGCTCCTCCTGGAGAGTCGGCTTGATGATAAGTTCACCGTTCTTGACGAAGACGTTCTCATCCGTGCCAGTAGTCATCTCAAACTGGCCGTTGCTGCATATTCGAGTTAGTCAATGCATACCAATGGTCGGAAGAGACTTACCCGTAGCCGCCCAGCTCGACTTCCTTAGTCCAGACAGTCTCATTCAGTGACTTGAAATCGTCGTGGAAGATCTGGCAGTACTTGTGCTTGCCGATGACTCGGAAGCCGTCCCAGATCATGATGGCAGTCACCATCAGGCCAAGACCAAAGCCGACGAGGGGAAGAATCGTTCCCCATTTCTGCCTCGGGTGCGGCTTGTCGAGCCACGGCATCCCGACATCCTCGGGCTTCACGCGTCGTGAACGGAAGTACTGACCTGGCACGGGTCCGTACTTGAAGCCACTGGCGACGGACTCCTTGCCCTGGGAGCTTTGCTTACCCTTGGACTTTGGCGTTTGCGCTGAAGGGCCCCCCTCGGGGGCGTCAGTAATTTTCTCAGAGAGCTCTGAGGGATGCTCCATGATGTGCGGATGGTGAGGTGTTTGAAGAGGAGATGATTATACAGTAGGAGATCTTTTCTTGTATATTAATTTGATCTCGGTTAGTATGAAAATTATCAAATGCGCACACATCGAAATGCTGTGACCAGTAATTGCTGTTGAAGTGGTTGTGTGGAGCACATGTTCACATGGCGTTCCCCTTACTAGACGTTGGCGGACGGTCAGTTCTGATTGTGCAATGGAAAGACCAAGTCCCTTGGTACTGAAGTATCATTTTTTTAAAGCTCCACCGCGAAGGCGAAAAAGCCTCTTCGGCGCCGTAAGGTAAGTATGGTGGTTGTCAGCCTAGTGCGAGTAATGTGGAGAGAGTTGATAGTTCAGGGTGTACCGATTGGAAGAACCACTCAAAGAAGATGAAGCTCGGTCGCGCGTAGTTGTACCTACCACCGAAAAGATACTTTAGAGATGTCCACTGTTTCACGTGAACGATAAGAAAATGTAGCACGGGATGCCTTTAAGGTATAGGATAGGTGTTCGCGTTGAGTGGTACGGACCAGCAGAACCGAACCTTTTCGCGTTTCCAGTTTATTCGCGCACTCGGCGCCCCAGGAACGCATTCACGCTGGATGGGTATACAACGCTTAAAATATTCGTCTCCACAACGCGCGCTCGCATCGCACTCATATCTATGCGCCCACGGCCAGACTCAAGTATATGCCCCACACGACGCCCACAGAGCAGCCAAAGACGATCCTCTTGTCTACTGGCACCCACAGGAAGCTGATGAGGCTTATCGCGGGCCAGAATTTGTATCCATCCTTCATCATTGGCCACAGCTTATTCGCGCAGTCGCTCGTGACCGCGTCCATGGCGTTGACACCCGGCTTGCCCTGCGCATTGACATAGGCCATGTAGCTCAGGAACATGAGCGTGTTGACGACGGCGCCGATGGTCTGGTCAAGCAGGAACTTGATAAGGACGTTTGTCTTGCTGAGCGACGTCTTGGTGGGGTCGGGCTTCGAGCCTGGCTTCTCGGACGGCGGGGCGGCGGAGGGCACGTTGGTAGGGAATTGGTCTTCGAGGTAGCCTTGCCAGACTATGTTGGGTGGGGTACTGAGGACGCTGAAGAGCGCGAATTTGAAGATGGTGGCATAGTTGAGGGTGAAGGGCGTCTGGATACGTGTCAGCTACATGCGACAGGACTGGAAGATTGCGCAACAGCACGTACGCTGTCCTTGTAAGATGATATGGCTTGCGCAAGCACGTTTGAAGTTATGCTCAGCACTGCACCCTGCAGGGTCTGCGATACTATCGACATGGTCGCGTCGCGATTGGTTACGAATGTCCACACCAGCGATTGAGCGATTGCAAGAGCGTGAGAAGGTGTATCGCAGGTACAGTCGAGGCAGAAGAGGCGGCGAAAGGGATGTAGGGCTATGTATATCAATAAGGCCAGCGCACCAGTGTTTGTCGGCAGTATCAGCAATGTTTCGGCCTGGGCGAGCGCGTCCCGCGCCGACATGTTTAGTGCTGTGACGTAATCAAAAGTGCAGCTCAACACCGTGATCAGGACCGCCCATCCATAGTACCTTTGAGCTTGTATCTTTCACTTTGCCGCTGACCCGTGTGCATATTTTCATGTGCTAGGTTGTACATGAAGAATATGCGAGGCCGGAATGAGAAGTAGCGAACCATCTCATGCCTTGCGATGAGTGTGCGACAGTGTTTATCAATTTGTGCTGCCAACTACAAATGCGTGCTCCTGCCTACTGGCGCCTCTAGTCTGAACAGGTTCTTGTACGTGCGCGCTTCGATAGACTGATAGCGCGAGGAACTTAACCGAAAGACGCTCGACAAACACAGAAACTCCTGCCCGGCACGTTCATGAGATTGACCGCGCAGCACTCTTATTCTGGATCCGTTCATCCGAGTGTGACTTCTATCTCATCCTTCGCCTCGACCTCCCACACATCCTTCCGGATCCTCCCAAGCGCTTTGCGATATGCGACTCCTTCCACCCGCGTTACCCAGAGCACATTGATGAACTCATACAACCCTTGTTCTTGATTCCATCCGCAATCCTCTTTGTACCACTCATCAAAGCTTCGCGCATCGATTTCCCAATCCTCAACCGATCCAGCAGATATCTCGATAAGCTCACATGGCTGATTTTCAACTCGATCAGGATCGAAGAGCGCATCTTCGACTTCAGATGGCGAAGGGGTGGTGAAAGAAAAGCTGGGAAGGGCTTTTGACGTGTCCCGAGATCGATGCTTGAGAACTGGAGTGGACAATGTCGATGTTTCATCGCGCGCGTGAGAAGGTATGAAGTTCAGTCTGAGACATCCGGCCCACCTGCCAGATGTTGTGAGGAGCTGCACGGAAGGACAGCCCGATGTCGTGTTGAGAAACTCCTTGCCTAGCACGAGGAAGGCGTGTCTCGTGGTACAATGCAGGTAGCGAGCGTTGATCACAGGTTGCCGGCGGTCTGTCTTGTCAAGGATCGGGATTGGATAGCGAAAGGATGCAGATGGGTCGCATGAATGTCTGACCGCTTGACCATCCTCTCCCAGATCTGCGGACATGTACCATTCTGGGGGTAGATTATCCCCAGACGTGGTGAAGGCTGGCCGCCTAAATTGCGAAGGAATGTTGACTGGATGCTTCTCCGATGTCAAAGTCCTCGAGTATGTCCATTGCACTGAACTAAGAGTCCTCCAGGAAGTGTATTGTGGTATGTCCGGTGCAGGCGGGTGCTCAAACTGGTAGTTGGCAGCACTTCTCCAACTTTCAGAATTGATGATGCCTTCCCATCCTGCCCAGGACCACGAAGGTAGCACAGCCTCGCTGGCAGGAAGTTTGCGAGGTTTCCGTCTCTTCAAGTATGCCCATGGCTGCCATAGGAGTGCAGCGTCGAAACACATCGTTGGCAGACCGGATATAAACCCGCCTGGAAACACGCTGCTCAGATGGGCGAGACAACTAACAAAAGCGTCAAGAACGTCTTCTGGAAAAGTTAAATCGCGTTCGTTGAATAGAGTCATGAGCCGCGTATAACGATTCATGTCTGGCCAAGGTGAGCTATTGAGTCCGGCAGTTGGCGCGTTTATCTTGATGGGCGCAGAGTCTGAGGTCGATCTTGTAGTGTGTGACGAGGCTGTCATCGGCAAAGTAAAATCTTGGCACTCATGCCAGGAAGCGCAGAGACACTCCCAGTTGACTGTGTTGTTCTGGAAGATTACCCTTCGTGTAGAAAATATGTATTCCTGGAAAGTCCAGCCTCGCGAATACCACTTGGTTTCCATGAGAGACATAGCTTGGTTGAGCATGTAGTCGGCACCACGCACTGGCTGTCCGTTCGACTTCCTGATTCCTTGTCCAACAAGAGTAGGGACTGGAGTAAATGCCATCTTTCGGTGGCCATAAAGACTCAGAGCCGCTTCCTCGTTCTGAGCTGCAACCAAGGTAAAAACTGCTCCTGCATAGATTTCCCCCATTGCACTCAGCTGATGGTGTTTAGTTGCTTCGTCGTCTTGGACGATGGCGATTCGATCCACCCATAGATAATGAAGCCCTAGAGCCCTAACCAAATTGATGGCATCTCGAATAAGATTAGGCAATGATATGATCCCGCTGTAGAGCCCGTTGAACGCTTGAAGCGCTGCCAAGTTGGACATCGTAGCGCAAGCTGAAACCTCTGCACCTCCCCACACATAACTCAGGGCAACGTAACGTGGGTGTTCAGGCGCAGCGACCAGACACCCTCGATTGACATCGATCAAATAGGATGGGAACGGCGAATGCATCTGTGAAGTCCTGCTACCGTAGCATTGATTCCCATGTAGTCGTTCGCATTGATCCACCCACGTCTGGATGATGTTGACGTTCATAGTTTCCGCATCGCGAGCTGATATATTGGTGTCCACTTCTTCGACCTCCTTTTCTATATAGGGAAGGAATGGTTTAAGGTGAGTGGGCATTTGCTTCCATGATACATCGGCGTTACGAGGTGAAGCTGCACGACGATGTCGTCGGCGGGTTTCTGGGAAATGCACCGCCGAAGAGACGGTTTGGCGAGCGAGCTCCTCGGCTGTGTCGGGAATCCACAGTTCCGTCTGGTGATGCAGAGGAGGTATTCCAATCCAGGCTGCGCGTTGAACTAGACTCGCGTGGGCATCGGTAGTCGCAGTAGGTGGTGGCGGCTCGTCTTCCTGTAATCCAGGCGATGCTGCCGTTGTGTTCATTGTGTGTGACAAGCCTGAAGCTAGGTGATGTTCTCGATAAAATTCTGAGTTGACTGGACGTTCACGTTTCGCGATTATAACCTGGCTCTCTACAAACTCCGACTCTAAACGCTCCTGTCGTTCTACCTTGCCGTACCTGAATTCGCTCGATTACACCCTATGTTGGGGTATTAATGATTCTCTCGATCATTCCCAGCCGTGAATATGACAACGTTGGATGTGCAGGATTCTTCAAGTGGTGACGCAAAGTGAGGGGTACAACGCTGGGCGAGAAGGGCGACCAGAAGTGCCTAAACGACTTGTAGTGTCTGTTCCGGTGGCGAGGAGGATATTGATGCGCAAGGCTGACAGTACATGTATTGACCGGTCGCGCCTCGAGTCATGGCGCTAGCTTCTGTCTCCGTCAGGCTACTCGTGAGCCTGAGGCTCATGTTTGTGTTGCGCGGGTTGTCATGGGACGGTGGTGACGTCGCCACTTTCGCGACTGGTCCCGTGTGCTGAGACCGGGGTGTAGGTGGCGTTGTTGTAAGATAGCACCAGACATTATCCGGTGTCACTTCTGGAGGTATTCCCGTTGATCTCCTTCGGCTCTCCGGTAGTACGAAGTATTTGAGACCGTCTTCCCACGTGTCTCTAGAAGCGTTCCGTGGCACGCGCCTCCTTGCAGTGGGTAAACTGGAAGATTGCACTCTCAGGCCATTGGATCCTCTCGGTAGAAGTCCGCCATACCCTCTTTCACGGCTTTGCGAAGTTGCGCACCCGCTCTGCCCAACTCTC